AAGTGGTGCATATTGAGTGGTCAAAGAAGTGGCTGGCGTCAAGAGCTATCCACCACCTCTCTGTTACTTGAAGACAAGGGGGGGGGGGTGTATGTGCCACAATCGCCAATTCTGACCATTCAGCTACTTTACTCTCAAATGGCAATGAACAGAAGTAGACTGAGTGCAGTACATGTGTACATGGTGGTACATGAGCTACAGCAAGTACATGTACATATTACTACTTGACCATCATGATTGTGACTTCGTGTAGCGCTAGCACTAGGCCAGGGCTTGTTGAACAGCATTCAGCAATCACCCTGTGTCATAAACACAAGAGGTGTTGTTTTCTTACTCAACTACTTGATGTACGCAGCCCGCCGTCTTCATGTATTCTGGTCTGTAGTACGCCTGTCATCCGTGGAGCAACTTGTTCAGTTTCTTTAAGGTGCCAACCATGAGTAGGCTGTCCTTCCAGTGGCCCGTTCAAAGCCTCCCTCAAGTGCCAGGCAACGATTGCTGAAGGTTTCCTGTATGCCATGTTTATTGGCACAATGGCTTCCTGTGCTCGTTCACACGGTCACTTGTGGATGAAGTATGGCCGAGAATTTTTAGCTGCGGGTAGTTGAGGCCAGTCACTTGTGAGATACAGAATAGGAGCCATTCTGACATGGTGCATACTGCAGAGTCACGTTCAGACAGCAATGCTGCGAATGGCCGCTCGAAGCCGTGCATGTAAGTTTGTGGTACAGCGTTGTGCTCGCGGCTAGCCTTGTGGGCATGACGCGCTCAGAGTGCAAATCAAGCAGTGCCAGCAGCAAGCAATTGATTATTCAGCACCGCTGGGCCCTAAAACGCAACTTTATCGCTAACGCTACGGAGCAATTGTTCTACGGTGAATTGTTTGTTGATTATTGGCTGATCCATGGTGAATGAGCACCAATTATCACCAGCAAATCATTTACAATTACATGTACCTCCACGGCAGGGTTTTCAACCGTGCAGCGGACGCAATGTGTGCGAGTACATTTGCTTTACGGCTAGTGAGTAAACTGGTGTATCGGTGACGGAGTACATTGTGCGACTATTGCGATGGTACGTGACTTGTTAACCATGCAAACAGATGATGTCTGGATCATCTACAAGCACACCTACTCTCTTTGTTATCGCTATCCACTACAGGGTTGTTCTCTCGCAAGAGACTTCTTAACGTCGGCAGGTTCGGTCACCTTCGCCCGTGTTATTTGCGGTGGTTGCATCATGTTGATTTCTTGCTGAGTCCTAGTACAGGGTGTGTAGCATGAGCAGTCTTCACAAGCAGGGTACATACATGTATGTCATTTACATGTGATAAACAATACGAGGTACAATCGTGAAAAGGAGACGGTTTCGTTACTTATACGGCCAGTCTCACAGCTAAGGAGTGGTATCAGGAGTGATTTTACACATGATCCGTTTGGTAAACCTGTTCTTTTTTGAGGTTTTGCAATACATGTATCTAAAAAAACCGGTCTCCGTTAATTTTTTTGGGAACACACAGACAGTAGGATTCCCACTGCCGTTTCAATACGTGATATGACCATCCATTGGTGGTGGGACCACCTAAGGAGAATCTTGTCACTGTAGCTCCAGGAAGGAGTACTAGAGCTCCGATAGTTCATTCCAATCTGACTGGGGACACATTTAGATTTCTGGCCAAATAATGCTGCAGCAGTTCCTTTCGGGATGCCAAATCTGTCAGCCAATCGTCCAATTTGATGATCATATAATTTGAGTCGTCGGAGAAGTCCAATTACCCTTGAAACTGTAAATTGATATCTCCACTGGCCTCGAAGATGACGGCAACTGTGTTGTACTGAACTAACTTGTCAAGTAATTACCAGATAACAGTTAGTAGCTGTGAGTAAAGTACTGCAGCCTGGTACACCAGCACTGAAGTGTGGAAATAGATATCCAATGTGCAATGCCGACAAGGCAGCAAGTGCTCGTATCTTGTCATTGTTGACTGGACGGCACGGTGTTGTTGAAATTTCTCACCCAGATTAGCCTGTTGACATGCAGCTCATTTCCGATGCAAGGGGTCTCCAGCTGGGTCGGGCGAGGAGGTGCCAAGTCTGCTTACTCGATTAGCACAATGCTGGTGCATCGGTCCTCCTGCACTCACACCTCATTAGCAGTGCGTAGAGATAAACTACATCATGTTAAGGCATGGGGCTACTGGCGTCAAAGACCATCCCAGTGGCCAGGGTAAATCACACTCGATCATGGTGTCCTGGCTAATTTGACTATAAGAAACTGCATGGCAGGTGTCCAATAGCAGTATGCTTGGGTCGCGTCTGGACTGTGTATGCATGTAGTCTGCATTACTGATGCCTTTTCACCGCATGATATTGTTACAATGCTACCGGGAGATGCAGACGCGGAATCTCATCTGAAATACATGTAGTTGCTGATTGGCGGGATTGGCTCGCTACAGTTTCGAATGTTCTGACCATCATGACTGTACATAATGGGAGTGTGTGTTACATTTATAATTATAACTGGAAATGTGTGTACTGACTGTGTAGAGTCTAACCCCTACCATTGCCTGTACAGCACACACTGCACACACTGCACACACTACACACACTGCACATACTGCACACACTGCACATACTGCACACACTGCACACACTGCAATGGCTCTCTTGACAGACCACAATGAGCATGAACATACACGTCATTACACGTCCGCACACTGGAAATTCCCAGTTTAGTTCCACTTAGTTCTACTTCGAAGTATTTCATGGACCGTTCCCAGAGGAATAATACTTATGGTACAAATCAAGACTGAGCCTACCTCATGAGTTGCTGGTGTTGCAAATTATAGCTAATTGCTGGTGCCACTGTGAAGTGAGGTTTTAGTACACATGCACTTGCTGTGATGACAGCCCCTGCGGCCCTGCATGTGCTTGCACATCACTGATGCTGGCACTTTGAAGTGGCATCTTCTGAAGATGACACTGATGAAGGACATGAGAACCGGCATAATATACTCATCTTTCACGGTTCCATCCTTACCTTCTTGCCTGGTGTGGACACACGTTGTATGTTCTCACCCATGTGATTCTTGTGCAGGTGCACTTGCTTTGCCTAAAGGCCAGTGTACGTGTGCGACTAAACGCGGTATCAACAGCGCCTCGGAACGGACGCTATGCCTAACTGTTATGGTTTAACTTAAAGTTGGCTCATCAATGTCAAGGTGGAATGCAAAGGTATGTCAGCTCTGCCACTGCTGGAAGGAGCTTGTGTTTCGTTGTACTTGTATTTCAGCTGTACAACGCTGCTAGCATTGGCGATGTTCACTGGGTTGTTATGCGATTACAGCAGAAGTGTAGCAGTCAGTGGAGCTTTCCAGGCCTTGGCTCAACTGAGTGTTTTTCGTTTGTAAAATGCTCTAATGAAAAGTGACCACTTTTAATTTTCAAAATATAATGTGGTCTGGCCAAGGCCCGAAAGATCCGACTGCTGCTAAAACCGACCGAACCCACCATGTTTTCACTGCAAAGGAGGCATAAGAGTGGCATGCACTGCCATTGTTTGCAGTAAGACCATGATTGTGCTGCTTGATGGTCGTTCCTTGGATGGGCCAGTTTTACAGGGAGCACTACCTGCCTGGCGAAGCACCAAACCGAAATGCATACTCTAAGGGGCCGTCCGTAAATATCGAACTTTTTTCACCAAACGAATTATTTTAGTTTAGACCCAACCCCTCCCTCCCTCCCCCTCAGAACGTAAAAATTGTTGACATATACATGCATATACAACAAAAGTCGCTAGTGTGTCACTTCTCCTATGGCCATGTGCATGTATCGAACTTTTCTGAAACGAAATTGGTCAACCCCCTCCCACCCCATAACGAAATTATTTCGTTTCGTGAAAAAAGTTCGATAATTGTGGACGACCCCTAATTTAAGAAATTTTAGGTGCTCAATATTTTCGGTATGAGAGCAAAAGGCCCGGTTAGGTGAACAGAAATTTTAGGTACAGAGAAGCAGTTCCCTATTGAATTAAGTGTGTAAGTGTTTGTTCGGTGTATTGAGATTTTGGGTATGAAGCAGATGCACCAAAAGTACCGAAAATACAGATACACCGAAAATTTGTGAAATTAAAGTACTTTGAAGAGTTACATGTAGTAGTACTGTAAAGTATCGCCAGAGCGCCCCGTCTCGCCAGAGCGCCCCGTCTCGCCAGAGCGCCCCGTCTCGCCAGAGCGCCCCGTCTCGCGAGAGCGCCCCGTCTCGCCAGAGCGCCCCACCTTGATTTCACAGCCAGAGAAAGGAAAATCGTATGGCAGAGTGCAACGAAGTTTGTACGATGTGAGAATCTTAGTGTACTAAGGTCACGCTTGGCAGGGTTTTGTGTGGAGCTTGTGTCTGCTCGAAGGTACGGGTTGACTGCAAAACGTGCAATATGTGTACAAGGTTCATGTCGTATGACCTACAGACAGCAGACCACCTCCACAATGCGACCACGAAAGGATGAGATGGTGGGACGCTCTGGCGGTACTTTACGGTAGTAGTATGAATGTAATTGCACAGAGCTGTGTGAAAGAAAAGCTGGCACATCTCATGCACAGATGCCAGAGGACCACCGTTCTAAATCTTTCGAATACTGATAAGCCGTATGGGCTCTGGAAACCCCTGTCCCCAGTCCCATAGAGGTTAATTTTCTAATTTATTGATTTGGCCAGCAGTCATCACACCAAATGCGTGTGTACCTAGGCGGCCTTGCACACGGAACGTTTTAGAATCCTAAAACCTGCTGGGTAGGATAATCTTGTGGATGTTCACTAGAACACTAAGCAAGAGCACTCACTTTGAGTTCTTCAACATTTTGAAAATGTTCACCAGTAAACCTGTTGAAGAACCTGATGTGAGTCTCTTGCGGCTTACTTGGTTATACTATTGCTGATCATCACACAATCGCTCCTGTTTTCCAGGGATACAGCAATGCATTTCAGTTTTCTTCCGGCGTGTGACTACAGAGCAACACAATGCTGTTCATAGTAGAGATGATGCATTCATGCACAATGAAACAAATACTGGAGCTCATACTCTGATGAACACGTGTTACCTGGCATATGATAGTTCAGGCTTTGTGTACAGAGACGTACTGAGAAGCATCCACAGTGATGTGTGTGGGTCAAGAAGCTCCAAGTTACATGCTATACACAGTATCCAAGCATAGTGACGGATCACACACTGAAACACGGAGTGTACGTCATGCAGCGGCTAACGGGCGGTAGAAGGCAAAACAAATAATGTTGCAGGACTCAACACTTCCATGATGTAGCTGTGAGCATTATATATGGGTCCAAAATGCGGGCAGTTCAAAATGACACACTAGTAGCTGGTGAAACGCTATGAAAATATTTGTGAACAGAGCTAACAGTGCTGCTGAGATGCCGTGGTCGTAAACTGGATGGGCTTCAGAAGCGCGTGTGCAGGCCGATGTGTTTTGCGGGCCAATGTGTTGTCGGTATCCTGGTACTCTACGACTATAGCTGCTACGCGGGTGCTCAAGATCTTGTGTGCGTTGTGAAACTACTTGCCCGCCGTAGCGGGGAATGTTTCCATGAAGCGTTGATAGGCTGCAGCGGAATCAAACGTACAAACACAGTGATCTTGTATGATCCATTCGGAAATACTGAGACTCTGGCCGTTTTCAATCTGATTTCGGCTAGAATGTGCTCAACACTTATTTCAAATTCGGCATAAAATGGGTTTTGGATCAACAAGCTTGTTATACCGTATTTTCGAGAGCATGAACTTCACTTTGAGCAATCAAAATATTCACCCAAAATAAGCCGGCGCTCCTTACACTTTGGTTAGGGATGTCAGCAAACGCACTGCGCAGGCCTCTGCGCATGCATTGCGTCATCGATTTTTTGAACGTGATCGCGGCCGACAGAGAAAACATGGCCGCGGTCTGTTTGCACCGCTGGGAGTCGTAAAATTACTGTTCTTCTGTCCCCGCGACCATTCAAATCGTACGCGATACTCGAGGACCCACGTACTCACCACGTTCTCCCCGGTCGATTTCTCTGAAAGTTTGCACATCGTGAAACACCAGTATGAGAGGTGTTCAGGCCAATTTTCAAGGGATTTCCCTGGTTGGATCGTTCCAAAATCGGACTTGCATTTCTCGCTCGCGGCCATTTCTTGCGCGATGGAAGCGCCCTGCCCTGGTGAGTAACCAGCGTCGCGCTTGGTAGAGAGTTGCTGCAATAAGCTCTTCGCTGCCATTGTCAGAAGCGATGGACCATGAATTTCTTTGAGAGTCTCTGGATGCTACTATTTCTCAGCCTAGTTTTCAGCCATTCCGTGCATCTTCTTCGCACGGTTTATTTTGCAAAAAAAATAAACTGTTCCAGAGGTCTAGCCAGGATTTTATGCCAGCCGGCCAACGTTCTAGTTAAAATGCATCGTTCTGGGGGCTGCGCCCCCAGACCCCCCCCCCCCATCAGTCACGTTTCCACACAGACACAGACACAGACACACACATACACACACATACACACACACACACACACACACACACCACTACAAATCTTTCATTGCAGCTTGCATCTCCTTTCGCTTCGTCCAATTATGGGCATTCATCAGGCAGTTGTGACAATGTGACTATTTATAGGTAAATTAACAAAAATATTAATATGAAAAAGGAAGCAAACAGCCACATGAGCATGGATTATGTGTTCACCAAGGTCATGTCTGCATGCAGTGTACATAAATTGGTCATCTGACAAGACCCAGCCTAGCCACAGCCGTGTACACCACCAGAAGCAGTGAACCATGACCCAACCTGTTACATTTTGCTGACGTACTCAAGTGCATACTCAAGTGCATTTGAGCTTGAGTGAAGGCACTGAGCCTGAGTAGCCAGTGCTAGGTACTGTACTGTACATACGTACCTACGCCTAGGTCTAGGATATGGGTTGTACTCCACCATCTCGACTCAAGACAAGTGCTAGTGCAGTGCACTACAGTCTACATGGGGGTGATTGCAGCCGGCCAAAATTACCCTGTCTCAGCATTCTGCCGGCTGAGCCGGCTTTGGCTAGATCACTGCTGTTCAGATGGGCCAGGCTGACCTGCGCAGATGGGCTGCGCAGTGCGTTCACTGATATCCCTACTTTGGTGGCAAAATGAACGGGGCGAAGTTAAGAATCTAAAGATGCCGATATTTCGGGACAAAACACGGCTTATACTCTGGTGCGGCTTACGCTCAAGAAAACACGGTACATTGATCGATGCTTAACTGATCCTGATGGTGGAAAGTAGGGCAGAACGTCCGAATCAATAATGGTTCACTTGTGCCTGGAGTGATTAGTGACCTCCAGCTGGCAATGTCGCAGACTAGAGGATATATCCTTATGCACAGATATGGTACGTATTGTCGTACAAAAGTAGGTGGGAAAGAGCTAGAGAGGTGGGAAAGAGCACAAGGTTTTCGACTTATAAATTTAGTGTGTATTGCCTCCGACCTCGCGTGATTAATAACCTCCATTGACTTTGCCATCAGAGAGCCCCAGACGTACTCAGCCGTTGCAACGCACGCATACACATAATTAAAATGCTGTATGGTTGTTAACAGCACTTATTCTCACCTGAAAGCTGCGCATCGCAAGATGCATGCTGACTCTTGCACTGGCGTAACTCTACACCACACTCTGAAGTGCCACCCAGTGATCCTGTATGCATGCATACAATGTAAGTACACAACAGTCATGTCGAAAACTGAACTGTTCCAGGCTCCTGTCCAATCCACTGCGTCAGACAACGGTTATGAACCCAAAACTAACAGTTACAGTGGCCGGATTTCAAATCCAGCTAGATTGTGGCAACTACACCTTACCAAGCGCGCTCACACGCACACAGCGGTTCGCTCGCTCTATCTCTCTCACTCTACCTTTCTCCTACACACACACGCGCGCACATGCACACACACATGCACATGCACATGCACACACACACACACACACACACACACACACACCGTATTTCCGCAAATAAAAGACCGTCCTCGTATACAACGCCTTCCTCGAATACAAGGCCGGGGCAAGGGGCGATTGAAAAAATGCAAGACCGTCTCCGATTAGAAGGCCGGGCCTACTAAATGAGTCTTACAACTGCGCATGGGCAGTGCGACGGCTGCCATTTTGTACGAAACTGCAACGAAACGTGGCACGTGTGGCACATCTTCTGGTTTCTTGTGATTCCGCCATCACGCTCAAACAGTAACTGTGTAGAAGAAAATGGAAGAACGGGGGTAAAACTGTGTGGCGAAAATAGAAGACTGGGGTCAAACTGGGTTGAAAGAATGAAAGACCGTCCTCGAATACAAGACCGTCCTCAATTATAAGGCCGGGTTAGGACGAGTTTGAAAAAATAGTAGACCGGCCTACTATTTGCGGATATGCGGTACTCCCCCCCCCCCCCCCCACACACACACACACATAAGACAGAAGCATGAGTAGAAACGTAATTCCACTCGACCTTACCTGTCTGTGTTTCAAGGTCCTGCTCTCCTAGATGGACACACTCTTGAAATTGCTGACCAGCAAGGTTGACAGCACAGCAATACTGGCCAACATGGCTAGCAACGCCATTGCAGATCTGTAGTGATCTGTCTTCCAGTGTTACACTGTATACTCCACCTGTTTGAACCTGCATATACACATATATTTACATACACACACACACACACACACACACACACACACACACCCACACACACACACACACACACACACACACACACACACACACACACACACACACACACACACACACACACACACACACACACACACACACACACACACACATTTACATACACATACACACACACATACACACACGCACACGCACACACACACACAAACACACACACAAAGTCACAACCTGGCTGCGTAAAAATGTGTGGGCACTCGATATTTATATCAGCTACTCGTTTCCGGATGGAATCAGCCGGATCGGTGACAAGTTATCTCATTCCGCCATATTGCAGTGCGGGGTAGCGGTTGACGAAGATTCCACCAGACATGCTGTCTATCAGAAGACTTGAAAGGGGTAGATACAATTGATTATTGAAACCTTAGCACAGTATTACCTGGTGCAAGCGACCTCTGGGTTTAGCGACCACCTGCTCTTAACGACGACCTGCTCTTAACGACCGTTTTTCCATGCACCGACAGTTCTACACAGACACTGTGGGACCTGGTTCTAAAGACCACCTGGCTTTAACGACCGCTTTTGCTTGCACCGTGGGGTGGTCACTTAAACCAGGTTTTACTGTATTTGTATATAAACAAAGCTAGGCCAACCTGCAGACACAAATCGTTTCGAACGCAAAAAAAAAGTACTCTTATGCTTCTATCAGTTTGACCTTGAAGTGTTGTTGTTGTTACTTTATTTTACTTCACCAGAATTACAGGCAGTAGAATGCCTTCTCACTAGACCAGGTCTAGTTCTCACAAATGATGAAGAATGTGAATGAACATGCTAAAGCTAATGAAAAACAAGAAATAGAAAAAGATGAGAAAATCTTGTGTTTTATATTTTATGACGGTATTTGTATGTGAGTGACAGTGATTAAATGACAAGGGAAAGAAAAGAAAAAAGATAGAAAGAAAAGAGTAAGGAATAAACGAAGCAGATGTTTGAAATTGAAATAGAGAAGTTGAGGTATTTGAGGAGAAAAGTCAGTTTGTCGATTAGAGACCAAACCAAAAGACCAAAATGCACATGTCTGACGAATGAGTCAAGACAGAGAAAGCGTGTCAAGAACATCTGGGCACAGCAGGGCTTTGAAACCCAGAATATCTTCATGGCAACGAATATTTGCCGGAAGCCTGTTCCAATACACGCTGCCCACGAATTGCATGGACGCTCGAGATGCTGGTCCACGAACGAATGGAATTTGGAGAAGACGTGAGACCTGGCCACGTGTAACACGGCGTGTGCTTTGCTCAAGACCAGGTTCAGCGATCAACAGAAAGAAAGGCGAAAATAGCATGCTTGCATTGGAGGCAAGACATCTATGGACAAAAACAACAATCTTGAGCTTAAAATGGTGGATCAGTGGGGAAATATTTAATCTAGAAATAAGAGGTGCGGTCGGTGTTTGACGAGGGAGCTGAAACACAGCTCTGACTCCAGCCTTGCTGATCTTCCCCAAACGGTCGAGAAGCTGAGCTGTGAGGCTTGGGTAGAATGCTGCTGAAGCATAACACAGCTGGCTGTTTACCATACTGGTGTACCACGACCGTCGAGCTCTAAGCGTTAGTGAACGCCCGTGTCTCCACAATTGCCCTATGGTTTGTGCAGTTCTACGTGACACATAGTCGACATGTGGCCTCCATGACAATTGGTCGTCGACGATCACACCAAGGTATTTTGCGGTGGCCGTCGCCTCCAGTTGCTCGTTGTTGCAGAAAACATCGGGCGTGGCAATGGCTGCGCCACGAGGCTGAACGAACATGACCTGAGTCTTGCTGGCATTCATTACGAGGCCGATGTCTTCAAGCCATCGGGAGATATCAGATTCTGCTCTCGTCAGAGTTCTGCCAACAAAATCTAAGTGAGGATGGGAGAAATCAAGGATTATATCGTCAGCAAATTCTTGGTGATTGACAGTTGCAGGAAGTGCTGTGTGCAGATTACGGGTGTACAACACAAAGAGAATGGGTCCAAGAACGCTCCCTTGCGGAACACCACGCGTACAGCCAACAGAGCAAGACAAGCTGTCCAGCACCCTCACTTGCTGTGACCTGCCACTGAGGTAGTCACAGAACCAGTGTAGGGGTGCTCCTCCAATGCCTAGGGTGTACAGTTCATTAACCAGCCTCTCATGTTGTACACGATCAAACGCCTTCGACATATCAATCATAACCAAACCGGTGTACTTGCGCTCGGATTTCGCTAATAGCCAGCGATTCACTGCTAGTACCAATGCATCTTCTGTTGAATGGCGGGGTCGATATGCAAATTGAGTCATCGGGTATAAATCATTGCTGTACAGATATTCTGTCAGCTGTCTCTTCACAAACTGCTCTAGGATACGCGAAACGATAGGGAGTAAGGATACAGGTCTGTAGTTGCGGGCTGATGAGCGGTCTCCGGCTTTATGCAGGGGACTGATGTGGGAGTGCTTGAACGTGGTGGGCACAACACCACTCTGTAGTGAACTATTAATGATACAGGAAAGTGGTGGAGCAAGCACATTTGCACATTGCCGCAGGACAATTCCAGGTACAGAGTCACTGCCGGCAGCTTTGAATGGATCCACAGCTTTAAGACACTTTTCAACATCTGCAACACTTACAGGTTTGAAGACGTGAAGACTGTTGGCTGGCATTGGCCCAAGTGGCGGGTGCAGATTCTGTGGTCTGCTTGGGTCATTGACAATTTCACCGAAGACCTGGCCGAGATCCTCAACAGAAACTTGAGGTATTTGACGTTCCTTCCGTCGCCCTGTGACTGTGTTCATTGCTGACCAAAGTTTCCGCTGATCAGGTGTGTTGCACTGGGTTACGAAGTACAGGTTACGAAGCTTTCGGTCAAGCTTCCTGGCAAAAGTTCTGGCGAGCCGATGTTGCTCACGAAGCACCTCATTGGCTTGATCCTTCATGAGTCGATGGTGTAGCCTGTTGCGGTGCCGTACTGCAGATACCAACTCCTCAGTTAACCAAGGACAGATATGGCGACCACGCTTGCGCCTCGCCACCAAGGGGGCGTGCTCATCTAGTGTTTCCATAATAGCAGACATGAATGCACCTGTCATGTCATTTATCGTGCCGTTCCGAGGGAACTGATGAAAGCGGACACACAGATCAGTCTGAAACTTCTCCCAGTCGATGGTGTGGATACGGCGACTCTGTCCGGGTTGTGATGTTCGGTTTACCCCTGTCTGGTTTACAGGCAAGTGTGCAAGGATGGCGAAATGGTCGCTAATATCTCCGTAAATCGTTTCACAGGCACCAGAAATGGGTGTATTTGACAGAAACAGATCTATGGTTGAAGCCGTGTGGCTCGTGACACGAGTTGGTGAGGTGACATAATTCCGAAGATTACTACTGGATAGTACTCGGTGCAGATGTTGTGCGTTCGGAGAGTTCTCACAGCTGTAATCAATGTTGAAGTCTCCAATGAGAACGGTAGATGCCTGAGAGCCTTCCATAGCAGCTTCTATGTTCTCTTGAAGAGAGTCCCAGTACGGCACTGGTTTGTCTGGAGGACGGTATCCACACCCGACAAGGAGAGTATCAGCAGGACATCTGACTTCCAGCCATACAATCTCTAGCTCAGCAGCTTCCAAATCCATTCGTTTTCGGACAACCACAGACTCATGGCAGTAAATGCCGACGCCACCACCTTGCTGGATGGGGCGGTCCTTCCTGAAAAGTTTGTAATGAGGAATCGCCAATTCTCCATCACCAACATCGGGTTTCAACCAGGTTTCTGACATACCAAAGATGTGCACTCCTCTGGCCGACAGGAACTCCTTCACCTCATCCACTTTCCGTCTGATGCTGCAAACATTCAGAAATGAGATTGTCAGCATTGACCTTTAGATTTGCTGCGGGTAAGCACTCCATCGTTGGGATCGCTGGTCGCTGACTGATCTTTTGGTCCGTCAGGCTTCTGCATATCCACTGAGTTCCCAGATCCAGGGTACTTGTCAAAGTTCCATTTTCGACTGTAGTACGGAGATGGCCAAAATTCCTTTGTATTTACAAGTTCAATACTCGTTCTGTTGAGAATGAGTCGGGCTGAGTGACCTTTCTCCTTGGGAAATAGCGTGCAATCATGGATTCGCACCTTCACGCCAACCTCTTGTGCCCTTTGTTGTACGTATTGACAAAGGGTATCTGCATCGCAATCCTTCCGGAGGTTGCCCACAAACAGAACAGCCTTCCTTCCTGTTGGCTTCTTGGTGCAGATCAGCTGCCATAAATTGCTGCCTTCCGCATCCTCTTCAAAAGTAGGGAGCATTCTGGAGAGTCCTTGTTTGCCAGGTTTTGCATCAGTTGGAGCATCTGGGTCCATTTGATGCACCATGGACGCTTCAGTCACGCTGGTATCTTGTTGTTCAGTACGTACAACTGAGGAGCATGGTTCAACCGAATCTCGCACTAGTTCCTTTTGAGGACAGCCAGCTACGGGTACGGGTACGCCAGGGCTGGAAGCTGCAACTCGCTTCTGTTTCTTCTGGGATGATTTTTGCACCGAGGGAGATCCTTGGCGTCTTTGGCCGCCATTGTCGTCTTGAGCAGACTGCAAAGCCGTCATCTCGTTTGTGAGCGCTTCTACCTTCCGCGTAAGGTGGTCGATACGATTTAGAAGTCGTTTCTCCCTATCCTCAGCTGCACTGCGGTCTAGCTCCAGTATCTCAACGATCTTCAGAAAGTAAGATTTCTCCATACTAGTACTCTGGTTTGAACTTGCCGATTCAAAGGTGGGGGACACCAGATCTGCCGGACACTCGACATCTACTGGCACGCCTGTCGCCATAGCCCAGGACAGTGTTGTACCTGGCATGGGACGGTCTCTACACAGCTAAAAAAGCCCAAAAACACAGGAGCGTGGGAAACTGCTTCCGACCTACACTGTAAAAAAAAAAAAAAAAAAAAAAAAAAGTGTACATGACTGTACTCAGTCAGTGTTTATATGTAGACAGGTGGCTAAGATATGTAGGCTGCGTATAGTGCTCTTAAGCCTCTATGTCCAGTGGACAGAGCCAGTGATACAATTCACAAACAGCAACAGCGCGACCAGGTCCCTCCCTGCCGTAACTCGGGGTTTCGTGTCTGAGAACACTCACCAGACCGCTCAGAGTGTGTTCAATTGTGTCGATCATTCATAGCGTTCCCTGTAATAAGACGACGCCGTCTGTAGGGGGTTCCCCTATTAAAATAATAAAATACTACTACTACATGTACTGCTACTACTAGACGGCATGTCGTCTGTGCTGTGTATACTATGTACGTACATGGCTGGCTGTTGCCAGGGAGACGCGCTGCCCGGTGTTGAATGTGCGCGAGTGTGTCCAGCGCATGGACCTCTGGAAGCGAGGGTTGTTTACTTCGCACGTCAGCTTCACACAGGACGCGCTGGAACGGGAGCGCACCAGACGATTGATCACTGTACGGCGGGACAAAACAGAGACGCAGAACACAACACGTTGCAGTTGGAGTAGTCAGTAGTGCATGGTACAACACGGAACAGTACGGAACAGTACGGAACAGTACGGAACAGTACGGAACAGTACACAGAACCACTGCATTCGAATCTTCGCTTCATGCTGATTAAGTCGTATCTTCAAAGGATCAAGGTGATTAAACGCCGCGGAGACAACTTTTGCATTGTTAAGATTAAGGTGATATTTTTTGAAACTCGGATGTTGAGCCATAAATAAATGTGGAAGAGAAAAAGACATATGGATACGAGTTAAGAGTAACTCTCCATCACTGTAACATGATACTATATACACTAGTTATTGCACTTTCTGACTGTATATAGTATCATGTTACAGTGATGGAGAGTTACTCTTAACTCGTATCCATGTGATATTTTTTATTAAGATTTAAATTTAATACACTCTTCTTTTCGGGGCACCACACTAACCAAGCGGATTGCATTGTTACAGTGTAACCCAGAAGTCTTTTCTGGGTGTTGCCGCATGTAACAAAACGTCTGGCTCCAAACCGGCACACGAACCTTTTGGTGTTTCGTGAGCCTCAATTCGGCCCAAATCGGGCTTTCGAAAGCCAGTGAGACTATTAAATTTGAGGACTGTAAGTAGCACATTATATTGGTGCTTCTATTCGTACTAGTAGTTTTTTGGAATTCGGTCTTTACACAGGGCTATAATGTGGTCCTGATTGGACATAACATCCAGAATCTCTCTCTCTCTTTCCCTCCCTCCCTCCCTGCCTCCCTCCTCCCTCCCTCCCTCCCTCCCTCTCTCTCTCTCTCTCTCTCTCTCTCCCTCTCTCTCTCTCTCTCCCTCTCTCTCTCCCTCTCTCTCTCTCAGACTGTCAGGCACCTACGTAAGCTGAAGCTTGATCAACCTATACTATTTGCATTTGGTTTTTTTCCTGATCTTCTCTTTCTCATTTCTGTTGCATTCTCAGATGCTCTCATAAGTCTATCATTCATAGTATACCCCCTTGGCCTGCACAGTCCATGTCGATTCCGAGACCGAAATGGCCGGAGGAGTTCACTGCGCCTGACCAGCACAGCGCTTGTAGCACCTACTACTCCTTTGTTGTCTTTGTCTTTTGTCTTTGTCTCTTTTACTACCCCTATTACTTTGTAGGGATGTGCACATAGTATTAAAAAAATCAATTTCTTCACAATACTGTTATTGCTATACGATCACAATGCGGCATTGTGTACAGCCCAGTATAGTGACGGATACTAGCCAAGGTTCATCACCCAGTACAATATAACCTGGCTAAGGCGACTGTACTCAAGGGACTTTCAAACAGGTGGTCTCCTCATCTAGGGTCATTTGACTGGAAAATATCTTGTGGTCCCAGTTGCACTCGTAGTGGTCTTCTTGGACAGGTGGTCTTCTTGGACAGGTGGTCTTCTTGTACAGGGTGGTCGCCTTGACAGGTTTACCGTATTATCCAGGAGTGTGTAGAATCGTGATCCCTATTTATCCGCACTCAACCTGTGATGCCCCGCACCACTGTAAGTGTAACGAGCCTACATCCCTCTCTGCTCACCTCACAGTGTCTCACACACGGCCGGCACACGATCGCTCTTACCTTGAGGGGCAGGTGCGTCAGTTGTAGGTTCCTCCAGAACTGTACACACAATACACAACACACGCACACCAAGCACCCAACACCCAACACTGAGCAATCATGTTCATCTGCAGTAACAGACCATATACACAGCCAGAGGCAACAACTAGAGCGCACCAGTGTCCAGTGCAGACTGATCAGTCACTGACTGACCGAACGGCAATTCAGCCACAACATGGCATTGACCAGCAGACAGACAAAGAAAGACAGACGGACAGATGAACGGACAGATGGACAGGCGGACGGACAGACAGACAGACAGACAGACAGACCAGTTGCCGACCGACCAACGGACCACACAACCGAGCAGGAAACTCAAAGAGGAATAAAAAAATTGACTTGAGTCTTGTATAGTAGGTGATTGGCTCACCAGACTCGCAAGTGGGTGCCCGTCCTGTCCACATTCCTGACGCATCGCACTGCCTACTAGCATCACCGCCCTGCAGTTCATGTGGCGGATCACAGGCGTACTCGGCTATGCTATCCGTGCTGTATCCATTGGTCAGTGTCACATCACCATTCAATGGCGGAATGAGCACTGGACACGAGACTGTGGCTGATGGTGTCGCTGCTGGCGATGCTGTGCTCGGCTCTGGGGAAAGATATTTGAAGAAAACCCCAAAAAAGTGAAGAAGAAAACAAAATGTCTGCTCAAGTATCTCTGTTGCAAGTGCTTTATGCAACTATGGTGGGTATCAGAGTGTGCGTAGCTTATGACTTTGACCTATGAAATGTTTTTCACTTCTTGAACTTTCTACTTTTTGTGCGCAAAGAACAAAAAAATGGTATGAAAAGTGCAACAGAATGATAAGGAAATCCATACCAATGTTTCTGTTGACAGGCTGGTGTATCCATGTGAAGGGCTTAGTGATTACGAACACTGACAGCCTTGTGTATCTCATGCCTTGGAGAAACATGATTCAAAATGTGCATACTGATATGGCAAGGATGAGGAATTCCCCTTGTGGCTGTCACTTTCAGCTCTGCTGATAAGACTTAGGAATAGAAACAGCTAGCTAGCGGAGACTGCGCACAGTACTGTCGGTCGCCGAAGAACTGAGAGAGGGGGGGGGGGGGTCAGTCTCCTAGCCTAGACCGTTCTTATTATCATGTATTACAGTCTATGCACAGTTGGGTCACCGTGTATTGGTATGCTTTGCTTGATGGAATTCTAGCCTGGACATTCTCCGGCGCGCCGTTCTTCAGCGCCCGACTACTGTACTAGTGGATTAAATGGTTTGATTATCTCACCTGGTGGTGCAACGCTTGTGCTTTCCGCAACGATGATGGTCCTCTGCAGCATCTGGCCCTCGTCGTTGCTGGCGTGGCATCTGTAGACACCGTTGTGCAGCGCGGCCGAGAACGGGCACACTCTCAGAGAGCCGTCCGCCAGCTGCTGGTGGGCACTGGTCAGCTGAAGACGCTGGCTGTTGCGCCACCACGTGGCCTGTACACAGTGGTGCAGAGAGAGAGAGAGAGAGACGGACAGACCAACACATTGACCAGAATGTCATGGTAAGAGTATGAGCGCTTTCGTTAGCTAGATACCCATCAAAATTGTGTTAGCGATTTCATTTCCAGCACAATTTGCATGTAAATACGAGGAAAGAAAAGTTCAAACCCGACAGTAGTACAAAGACACGGATACACATTGACTAGAATGTCAATTTAATAAGCGTATGATTACGGTACTTCTGCCAGCTAGTTACTAATAATGAGAGTTCCGATGATGGTGTGAAAAATTTCATTTCCAGCACAGTTTGCATGTAAAGCAACGTAAAGTTCGCACATCCGCGTTACCACCGGCTATGCAATTGTGTTGAGAAATAAGTTTGTGTGTACATAAGAGAAAACAAATGTACCTTCAAACTTAACAATAGTATAGTCATACTGGTATGTATCCGGTACTTTATGCTGAAGTTTCACTCAGTGTCAGGCCTGTCTTACCCGGTCTGGCTCTTCAGGTTGTTAGGGTCCAACCAAACGTTTTGCCACCAATATGTTTTATAGGCCAGTGAGGCTAGTCATGGTTGCAGAAATGCATACTGTGTGAAGAGTTAGGGCAGGTCCGGACCAATAGAACAAGGTTTCTGCTGCTGCAGTGTATACCAGAATGGTCTGAAAGCCCGGTGAAGTATAGAGGGGCTTGGTCTTCTTACCGTCGGGTTTGTTCTACCCTGGACCGTACATCTCAGAACCATACAGCCATTGTCCTGCAGCTCCGTCAGCGGGCTGACCGGCACAATTCTCAGATAGGATGGCATTTGGGGCGCGCCTACACACCATCATCATAACACACATACACATACGGGAGAAATCTACCAGTGTAAACGTCACAGGCCACTGTTCAAGTGCTATACCATTAAATGGTATTTAACAGTTAGCTGACATAGGGGACACTTAGCTAGGATTAGTTGAAAGGACAGAGCAGGCAATGCAAAGGAACATACGGAGAGTGTATGCCAGTTTAATGTGACATACACTTGATTTGTAAGTGCCATTTTTGAGGCAAGCGTTTTGCTCAGCATTAGAGTGAGTCTGGATCAAGTGTACCCACATTACTGCTGTAAACCAGAAAATAACTGGTCCCGTAAGTCTTTCAATATATCCCAAATCGTGGCTTCGGTAGCGTTCATTTTCAGTGTCGGTCGACTAGGCATGCTCCACACGACTTAGTCCTGGTGCAGCGCTACATAGGACTGGTAGCATGACCTAGTTGCATTATGTGTTGGGTATGCATTGTGTACACCAAAGTTGCCAAAAATAAAACTCCACCAAACATGTCTAGTCTTACAGTATGTCCCAAATCCTTTTACCCATGGGTACGTCTCAAGGGTTCCATTGTGTAATGAACTGTGCTGCTATAATTATAATATTGTGTTACTGTGGCAGTACCGGAAGGCATCAATACACGCATTTGCCACTGTTAGTAGTATTAGGAGACCACGGTTATAGGAGACCCAGGGTTGATATTAGGGCTGAAAGGAATATTCGAATTATTCGAATATTCGAAATATGCAAAGCGGAAAAAGAATAATCTTCGTTAAAGTAGAATAGGAATATTCGTAAATGTACAGAAACTCGCCTTTTTGACATCGATCAAGGTTATTTGGTGCAAAATATAAGTAGGCTTGCCTTTTTCGATGTGCTATAATCAGCAAGACACATGATTCTTCAAATGTCTCTCTTGTAATTGAGGTGTATGCCAATTAATGGTCTATGGTTACCATGGATAAAACTAGGTATCCATGGAAATTGCACGGTTTAGAATATTCGGAATATTCTTCGTTTCGCATGTATTCGGAAAAAGAATATTCGTTCGCTTCATTGAGCATTCGTTTCAGCCCTAGTTGATATTCAATGTCGATTCCGAAAAAATTATGATACGTGAAAAGACTTGAATGAAGAGGCAGAACTGTCAGCTTACGCGTTGGCGCTTGCGTCTCAACTACAGCGATACACTGGGGCTTGATACCGGACCAGGTGCCGCCTGGGTTGCAACTCTGCTGCCTATCACCAACCATGTCGTAACCGGCATGGCACATGTATGTGATGCGTGCGCCGACAGTCAGTCCTCCGGAGATCATTACGTTGCCGTTTGTTGGGTTGCTCGGCATCGGGCAAGACATTTCTGAACAGACGAGAAAACGAGCGACAGTTTTTTTACAGACAATATGACGGCTGCTTGAGAAATAATATGCATTGGAGTGTATGTAACAGCTGGATTCTCTAGAATACGCACATAATGCACAAGAGGTTCTCCCTGCCCTTGCTCCCCCCCCCCCACACACACACACACACGTACTCTATGCTTAGGACCCCATGATCTTGTCTCTGCCCCTTGCTACGGGTCTAATCACGTGAAACGTGAGTGCTGGGAATGTCACGTGACAATTCCCCAGTAAAACCCGCCATGCCATATGATTTGCTGAGAGTTGTAACATGACCACGGTCTATACTATGTCACATGACCACGGTCTATACCATGTCACATGACCACGGTCTATACCGTGTCACATGACCACGGTCTATACCATGTCACATGACCAATGCATAAGAATACTACTACTCCATGCATGCATGCAGTGCACAGGATGCAGTGCATGCATGCAGTACAGTCACGTACCTATGCAAAACAATACTAATACTAATACTGCATGCATGCAGTACAGGCACGTACCCATGCACTGCTGCCCATCACCAGTATAGCCGGGATTGCACTTGCATACGTATCCACGCAGCGTCGAGAAACAGCGTGCCATCGGGTGGCAGGTGTGCTGGCCAGAATCACACGGGCTCTGCGGTCTGCCATCGGCAGTGGCTGTGCGAGATGAGCAACAAAAAAAAACAAAAACAAAAAAGAACGGTTCACTGGAGGCCGAGTTTTCCGCATCCATAGCAACGCCGCCACCATATATGGGTCAAGGCACACACATGCACCAGTTTAGAACTTACTTCAGATAATACGGAGCATCAGCAAATCGAATTTTCGATTTGATTATTTCGAATGGCAAAAAGAAAGTCGGAGAGAAAATTCGAATGAAAAAGAGGTACAGCATATGTAGCGCAGTCCAGTATTTTCGAATCGAGTTTTTTTAGCTTGAGCAGTTGAGGACTGGGATTTTGAGATGTGCAATGGCTGCGTTTGTTGCAGAGCAAGTCGATTTGTTGGATTCGCTTCTCTTCCTTGAGTTCGCTGAAGGTCATCTGGACCGAACGGAGTTGCTGCTGTGTTTCTTATTGCCTTTGGGGATGACGCGAAGCGGCGGATGCTTCATCCGATTCAGGCTATTGGCGATAGGATCTCTCTTGGAGACCCCTAGAAAAGGCGGATCTCGGCCGAGCTCCTCCGCTATCCCTTGCATATCAGGAGACCCGCGGACGAATAACTGAGGGTGGGCCCTACACTGCCGCAGCAGAATGAGATCCATGGTAAGGTCGAACCTCAAATAATTTATTTGGCAACACTCTCTCCCTGCGGGGAACTCACCATAGACGCAGATGCCGAGACAACGCCAGCAGGGCTACTGCAGTACTGGGAGCAGGAGGCATACCGGGGCTGGTAGTTGGTGACAAAGCCATGATTCCAGGATACTTGAAATGAAACAAAAAGCACACTAGTCTTGACAAAACTTTTCACAGTTCGAGAGAGAGGAAAGCGTCAAGAAGTCCGGTTCGACTGTGCCTTGTGCACTGACATGTACAACTATGACTAGTACTTCAGTATTTAGTAAGAACTAGTAGCTACATGCGCAAGTATGAGTACTCGTAGTGCGCCGTGTACTAGAGCACGCGCAGAGCATTCGAAAAGTATTCAAAAAGTATTTTCTGTTTGCGGGCATTTTTCAGTCGAACAAAGCCCTAGTTTCGACTGATTGAGTGCTTTTCGTGACGATTCTCGAATTTCACTCGAATATTCGATTTGCTGATGCTCCGTATTAATAAGCCTTGATGACGTAAGCAAAGCAAGTGATCATACTCCGATACTATGGCTCAGTGTAGGGCCAGTGCTTAGAGCAATGTCAGGCAATGCATGTATGTGTCAAAGACAAGACCAACAGAAGTCCCCCCACTCCCCACCCCCAAATGAACCAATATCTTCTCTAAAAAAATATTGATATTTGTGGACGACCCTTTAGTTTATTTGGTACCCTTTTAAACAACTGGTATATCAGTTCGAATGTGATTTCAGAAAACACAATGCATTCACGGTGCAGTGAAACGTATTTTTCAGATGTCCAGTAGTAGTATACTTGCCAATCTGTACATACTTTGTGAGACGCAAGCTTTCGCTGAAGAAAGTATCTGCTCCGGCTTCGCGTGTGCTCCAGACGCAGTTGTGAGTCAGTCAAGTGTTTTAAAAGTGAGTCGGCAGGAAGCGGGAGCTCCGACGTTCAAAGCCGACACTTTCTTCACCAATTACCGCCGTTGTCGCAACATCTTACTTCGCACAAGCATTCTTTGAATAATTGCTGTTGGTATCATACTTCTTTTTAGTTATCATTATCTTTATGATTCTGGCACGTCACGGTGGGTGCGATGTACCACATCATAGCATCATAAATTGCATGTATATAACTGCTCCTTTGCAAACTTGCACACCATTGCATACCTGATGAGGGCAGTTTTGCCGAAACGTAAAAATTGATTGAGAAAGGAGTTTGAGTTTTGCAGAGTGAATGGGAAGAGAGCGAGTCTGCTCTGAAACCTTTTTTCTAAGCATTTGCTGTTAGGAGAATATTCTACATGTATTGGTTTCCATACTCACGCTGTTCATCGTCGTCATCTTCACACGTGTTTGGCATGGCCGCAGCGCGCACCAGTTCCTCTCCCGTGGCTCTCATGTAGCCGCGGCAAGTGAACTCGCCACTCAGCTGCGAGCAGACGTTCTCTTCGCTGGCCGTGGCGCAATACATGAGTGTGCCGTTGGGCCAGGTGAAGACGTTGCGGCTGTCGTGGTAGATCTGCTGTGTGTTGTGATGCCACCTAGAGAGTAGAGTGTATGGGAGTGTGCAGAGAGACAACAACTATGTTTCATCACAGTAACTGTGCCGGTACGAGTGTTTCAGTGGATCTGGTTCGCTTTCTACTGATGGTCTGGGACTCAACATACATGTATAAAGATTGCTGCACCCAAAACACGCGTTGTGTCTAATATAGCTCCAGAAATCCACACCTTGCTATACGTAGAGCACTGATATCAAGCAAGTCACCACTCTACCAGGGTGAAACTAATAAAAAAATAATAATAATAATAAACTTACAATATATAATAAACTTACTTCGATAATTATAACCTACAACGTATCTGCAGTGGTCATAAGAACCAGTGTATGTAAGCAAGGTGCTCTATACTGAAGGTGCTCTACACTGAAGGTGCTCTATACTGAAGGTGCTATACTGAAGGTGCTCTATAGTACTGAAGGTGCTCTATACTGAAGGTGCTCTATTGAAGGTCAGATGCAGTGTGTTGTAGTAGTAGGTTTTGCAGTGTGTTGCACGGTCGTCAGGAGTTATACTTCAGAGGCTCGTAGCATGTCATACCTTGGGAGCTTTTTACTGAAGTTTTGCTTCCATTCATCGACTCCTATTCCATGGTACATTGTACATGCCCCACCCCACTACCCACTCCCACACACACCCTCCACACCCATCCACCCACGTACAGAATGATGTGGAAGCACATCGCAAACCGTTTCAGCTTTCACTGCTTTTATGTCAATGCATACCTGATCTGGTTGTCCTGCATGGAGGCCACGGGCAGCGTGCAGTGGACAAACAGACACTGCTTGGAGTGCCATGTCAAGCGCCGTGTTGGCAAGCATGGGCCACTGCCGCTTCCTGAACGCACAGGGGAAGGGAAGAGAAAGCAAACACGCATACAAATTTAGCCCCGGGTCCTCTCTACAAATCCAAGAATGGATGCTGGGAAACAGTGTATGCCGTAATGTACAGGTTGGTACATTTAGTCATGATTATACAGCTTTATGAAAACAAAATCACCGGCAGCGTCGAACCATCAGTTGAAAACCATGCCCCTCAGTGTGCACTAAATTTCACCAATATTGATTTTGGATCAAAATGACTTTTGAGAGACAGGGAGGGAAAGAGATGGAGGGAGAGAGACGGAGGGTGGGAGACGGAGGGAGAGAGACAGGGAGGGAGAGACAACAGGAGTGGACATATCCCCCGGATAATATCGGTGTGAGAATCGTGATCTGCACGTGCACGCCGTTGCCTCCTTACCTTCCACGACGACTTGCAGGTAGCCGGAGGAGAGCATTCCGCCGGGCCGTGCTGGTGTACACGTATACACACCCATGTCACTCTTGTACACAGGGTTGATCTGCAGGGTGCGCGTGGACTCGCCGACCAGGCTGATGCGGTTCGTCGGTCTCAGCGGCGTGTCGCCGTGCATCCACACCGACGCCACCGGCTCACCGTCCTGTCAAGCAAGCATGCATCGGAGGTTAGGCGATTACATCATCAGTTGAGAAGGTTTGGTGACTTTTTTACTCTGCAACTCGGATCGCTAAAATATTTCACCGCGGATTGGTCCAGATTCAGAAAACGCTAAGATGCGTACTCGCTAAAATTAGCCGTTGTGCAGTACATCATCCGTTGAGATACTTTGACGAAGTCTCGGCACAGCCGGCTGCACTTGCACTACTGCAAGCGACTCGCGCTGTATACTTTGTGCCCATAAGCGAACCCGCTGAGAAATCACTCGCATGACCTCGATTGGAGCGCATTTCATGGCGATATGAATCAGTTTCTGAGGCTTCCTGATATAACGGAAATATAATGCGAATACATTTTTGAACTGCAGCATGGTACATGGTGGTGATTTTGTGATAGAATAATCATGTAAAAATCAAAATGCTTCAATAGTTCATGCCTTCCTAAGATTGAGGACAAACTCACATGTCCCGTGATGCTGCACGTTGCCTTCATAGCCCCACAGACCTGTGTACGCGCTACTGGAAGATCGGGATTCACTGCCAGGGCGCCAGCCTCCCCTGCACACATTCATCGAACAAAATGAGAACAACGTAGATCAGCCCATTCAGTCGTATTGAGCATTGCTCACCCTCACGCCATAGCTTGGATAATTGCCGGTTGTATGATTCAGTCATGACCTGCAGGGTGCAGCGAAATGATAAGCAGTCAGTGTGTAGGTGCAGATGCTGCTGGGTGCCTTTTCAACGCTTTGCGTACTGTGTCATCTCTGCAGAGCTTTGCAATGCTTTGCACATTTCCGGCAAGAAACCCGGGAAGTAACAGAGGATCCACTGCACCAAGCATCATACACAAATTCCCTTAGAGCAAGTGTGTGTAGAAACTATTACAAACCCCAATCAGAAACAAATAGAATCGTCACGGGATAAATCCTACTTGGTGGTCTTGGCCAGAACGCGGTTGTGGAGTATCGGATCATGGTGGCACCTTGGTACTGTCCAATGTACACCAGATAGAAGTTCTCAGCAGGCACAGTCACAGGTCCTCGTGCCCATTGATTCCTTAGGTCATCTAGATTGCCGATCTGTTGACGGGACAGTGAACAAGACACAGGAAATGACCACACACGTCCGTTGTGGGCTCCACTGGCTGGTATGGTGAGGCTAGAATTCACCTCAACAAGACAAGAGGCATGCGAAGCGGAGATACATGTATTCCCATATCAAAATTGTAGCATTATCTCTTTGGTTAACTCAAAAATTCTATACAACAAACAGTCAGACCTCGCATAACCGCACGAATCCGTTTTCCAGAAAAATATCCGGATAGGCAAGGGAACGGGATAATCGAACACACATACTGTGTGTATTCATGGCATGTGCTGTAAATTGGTAACCAATGATTTTCTTCCGGATTGGGAGGGATCCGGATAAACGAGGACCGGATAAGCGAGGTCTGACTGTACATCCACAATATACGTGTACAGGTAAACCTTTGCTACATTGTTTGTGACGAGCGCCCATATCATCTTATCCATTGCTATTATTAGGTTTCCGTGCCATCCTCTTGCACCAATGGCATTGGTTCCCCCATTGTATCCACATGTTGTTCCCGGTTCCCGTCCTTGCACCAATAGCTTTTGCTCCCCACTTGGCATGCTACCCAATATCTATAATGTTTTCCCCATCCAACACTCTCTTTCTTCAATTCATGATCGTAATTTCACAGACATGTATTCTTTCTTGCCAAGAAGAATCTCCTGGAGGAAATGTAGTGTTTGTTAGGTTTACAATGGTCCCCACCATGGTAATAGGTCTGGGCAGATCCACAGACTAAACTTACGTCCACCTCTGCCAATCCTGATCCATTCACACCGATCAGCTCCACACGTCCCAGCCCCAGTCCCGAAGAC